CTCTGCCCCTCTCCTTCATACCAGTCATCATGCTTTTAACTCTGGTTCAAGGCCCATCATCTTTACTCAGTTAGCAGCTCCCAAGAATAGGGACTGTGAAGGCCGTGCTCATTGCTGTAATCCTAACTCACTTGGGGCATAGTAGGAGCTCAATAAATCCTTGTAGCCCAAGAATGACACAGCTGAATGAGCTAAATGAATGAACAAATGACAAGAGTTTAAGTTCTCCTCGCTTCAAAAGAAGAATATACTCTCTTCATCTTTATAACATCCCTAAGAGATGTAAAATGGAGAGAAATGATGGGGACCCTTCTCCCCACTTGCCAGGTTAGGAGATGGAAGTGGCTTAGCTATGAACCTTAGGTTTCAGGGACAACAGAACATTGACCATTTTCTTTGAACACTCACACACTCACTTCTACATTAGTGCCCTCACCTAGAGTACTCTTTTCAAGGTCTATAACAATCCAACCTGCCAGACACATATATTTGGAAGGACACGAAAGAAATTGGTAATAGAGTTCCTCCATGAGGGGGTATGGAAGGGAGATTTGTGTCCATTTTTCACCCCATTGTATTGTCGAAGTTTTTTAGACGTACATGTGATACTCTTGCAATAAACAAACCTGTTAACCAAGTTATTAAATGAAAACTTACATGATGAAAGAGGTTTCTATCCACTTTCCAAATTCTAGATCAAATACTTCCAAATGCCCTCTACTTCCTTCTATGATTTTATTAACTTTTCTCATCTTTTGAAAATTCTTATACTTTGATTAATTTCAATTCAATTCAAGTTAACTCATATGCTTCAATTATAGATAGCACATTCTAATTTTTACTGTGGGACCTGGATATAAGTTTTAGCATTTCCTCCCGTCCCTAAACATAAGTTCATCCAGTTTTATTCATTGAGGCCTCTGGAGTCAGGCTGTGTGACCTCAGAGAAACTGTGCTAAACTACTCTGTGCCTCTCTTTCCTCTTTTATAAAAGTACTAGTGGCCCAGTGCATGAAATTCGTGCACCTTAAAAGGGAATTAGAGGAAATATTTTAATGTTGCTATTTGCCCTTTCTCTATAATAGAAGTGTCAGAGATGAAAGAAAATTAGTAAAATGTATATGAAAATCTTCCTCCTGTCAGAGTCTGGGGCACGTCGCGGGACCCAGAGTCAAGTTTCCGCCTACTGGCATGCACTTTGAAATCACACGAGATCCAGACCCGGCCGGCCCCACCCCCGTCAAGCCCCACCGGGCTGAGGGCTTAGCCTCAGGTCCCCATGCCCGGTGCCGGGGTGGGGGGCCTGGCCTCAGGTCCCCCATTAAGCCTGCCGGACAGGGGTGTGTGGCCTCAGGTTCTCCGGCCTGGTGCCGGAGCGGGGGGTGCAGCCTGAGGTACCCAATCAAGCCCCACTGGGTGGGGGGCACAGCCTCAGGTCCCCCGGCCCAGCTCCATGCAGCCTCAGGTCCCTGCTGCTCGCTCATTATGGCTTGTTACGGGAACTTTGCCTCAGCTGTGGGTGCAGTCATCTTGTGATGGCGTGATGGAGTGAGGGTCAATTTGCATATTACCACTTTATTATATAGGATAATGGTAGTAACAATCGAAACATATCTCTTAGGGTTGGCCTGAGAATTAGATGAATGATACACACGAAGCACTTAGAACAATGCCTGGCAAGTAGTAAGCATGCGGCACATGCTGTCAGTACTCAGTCCACAGACATGTGTGGAAGAGCTCTCATGGACCAGACTCTGTGTCAGGTGCTGGCAGAGGCTGTGTTTTCTCATTGTGCTCCCCGCACACCTCTCCCCATGCCTGCCACATCATGCATCCTAATTACATAGTTGCTGAATGGGATGGTCCCAGGTCAATCTATGATAAAACAAATAGCCCTGAGGTTTTGGTTGCCAGCCCAGTGCTGGAGACAGAGATGGTGGCGGCATTATTAAAGCTTTTGAGAAATAAAAGTGCCCAGATCTACATCTTGAGATAAAATGGGCCCAAGACTGTTATATACACAGGGTTGGACCAAGTCTAGAACCCACATTTACTTGTCCCTCATCTCCCCCTCCTGCCCCCCCCCCCCCATGTGTGGAGAGGAGGTGGAGAGGACCTGCATGAAAGAATAAAACATGCTATTGTGGTAGATTCATCAACTGTAACAAATGTGCCACTCTGGTGGGGGATGCTGCTAATAAGGGAGGCTGTGCATGTGTGTGTGTGGGGGGGGTGGGGTGGGGGGGGTTGGGAGGTAGGGAAAAATCTCTGTACGTCTGCCTCAATTTTTCTGTGAATCCAAAACTATTCTAAAAATAAAGTCTATTTTTTTTAAAGTACCATAGGGGGAATGGAAAATTCACTTTATTGAGGGAAGGGCCATGAACTTAAAAAAAATATCTATCTATATATAAAAGCCTAAGCCACCAGAATGAATGGTCTCTATGATGCTCACTGACCACCAGGGGGCAGACACTTAATGCAGGAGCTGCCTCTTGGTAGTCAGTGCGCTCCTACAGCCAACCTCCCACAGCCAGCTAACTGCCCAGCCCCTCCCCCTGGCTGGCAGGTGCCGATGGTCCAATTGGGGCTGGCCCCTGGGCTGGGATGGGGAATTGGGGGTGGGTGGCAGCAGATGTGGCCCCTTTCCCAAGAGGACTGAGTGCTGGCTCCCTCCTTGGGGCTGGTGGCCAACCTCCTGTGCTTTGTCTCTCCCCGCTGCCAGCAGGGCCTGATCGGCCTGCCACCTGCCTGCCATGGTGGTGGTGTGGTGGCATGGGAAGGAGGAGGGGGGAGGGGGGGAACTGTGCGGTGGTGGGGCGCCGACAATGGTGGCGTCGATGTCTGTTCCTTCTGCGCCCGGCCTGGCAACCATTGCCTCTTCTCCAGCCCAGCTCTGGTTGCCAGCCAGGCCTAGGGGCCCCACCCATGCACAAATTTCGTGCACCAGGCCTCTAGTGTGTGTGTGTGTGTGTGTGTGTGTATGTGTGTGTATATATATATACTAATAAAAGGGTAATATGCTAATTAGACTGGGTTGATCGGACATCTTCCAGTCATCTAGTCCTCCTTCCAGACAAAGCCATGGTGGTGGGGGCTGAGGCAGAGGTGGTTAGGGGTGATCAGGCAGGCAGGCTGGTGAGCAGTTAGGAGCCAGCGGTCCCAGATTGCGAGAGGGTGCAGGCTGGGCTGAGGGACCCACTCCCGTGCACAAATTTCATGCACCAAGCCTCCAGTACATAGATATTTCAGAAAGGAAAGGAGAGGAAGAGATGGAAACATCAATGATGAGAGAGAATCATTGATTGGCTGCTTCCTGCATGCCCCCTACTGGGGACCAAGCCCACAACCTGGGCATGTGCCCTGACAGGGAATTAAACCGTGACCTCCTGGTTCATAGGTCGATGCTCAACCACTTTGTGAGCCATGTGAACTTTTTGATTTTTACAATTCTGACTGGGAATTGGAAGGTGAGCTGAAGAGAGAGGGAAGGGGAGACGGTACTGATTTTAGAAGAACTGGGCTTCTTGGTTGGGTGCCTCTGTCATGGCTGATCTGTCCCACTTGCAAAACATTTCTGTGTGGGTTTTATTGGGGTTTCACAGAAGGGTGTGTATTTAAAAATAAAAGCACTGTAAAAGTGGTGTGCATATTTCAGAGAAGACAGAATGGAAGGAAGGGAGCCACTGCTGATTGGGTAGACACACCCTATGGGGGCTGGGCTGTTACTCACTAACCAGTGACCTCCACAGTCTTGAGTGGAACAGCTGTCAGCAGCACCTGAGACGTCATGTGCCAGGATGCAAAAAAGCACAGAAATGAAAACCTCCCGCAGCCACTTAGAGGTGTTCTAAAAAGGGAGGAGTTGAAAATAGGCTGCACCCAGGAAGGCCCTTCCCGAGATTCAGTTTGGCTTTCTGAGCCCTGAGCTCAGTTATCCCTCTCCCAGACAGCGGGCAGCAAGGGCCACGGGTCTGCCTGATTCTGAGGAAAAGTGGGGCTCGGAAGGCCTTTCCACCTGGGAGTCTGGCAAAGGGTAGATCTCATGTGCAGCCCCTCTGGCCTCCCAGGCATGTCTGGGATTTTCCTGGAGGAGTCCATAATGGATTTACTGTCTTGAAAACCCCAAGCACAAAACACACGGAGGCTCCGGATTCCCTCCCCCACACACTTCAGGCTGCCTCCCACACTCTAATTCAAGTCCCAAGGCCTTTAAGCTGAAACGAGACTCACCCCAATACCCAGTGAACCCAAAGTTCACTTCTTGCTTGGCTTTTTCTTTCTCAAATACCTTTTCCCCCAGCCCTGATGCTACCAAACAGAGAACGTCAGCTAGCCTTCAAAAGGCAAGAAAGACAGGGGCAGAGCCCAGTCCGAGCCCTCTGCTGTGTGACTGGCCTGCGCTGAAGCTGCCCTGACCACTTACTGTGACCAGAAAACCAGAAACCCTGGCCTCTCCCCTCTTGCTGCCTTGGAACCTTCTCTTCCAGGAAAGTAGTCACCGGTACAACTGCACTGTGGCCTCTCTGTTCTCAACCAAATGCCTGGGATTTTCGCTTCTACCCTCTCTTCCCACGACAGTCCTCCCTTGTTGTTGGACCATGTCTCTGACCCCTTCCAGGGCAAGGGTGTGGGAGCCATCTTCTCCCAGAGCCCCGTCTCCCCATCTCAAGCTCTCAGCCTGGGTCTTTGCCAGAAGGACATCACACAAAACCACCCACTCAACCAGGGCTGACCAGAGCCTGTCACCAGAGAGGCTGGTCTAGAAGGTGACCTGCGCCTTTGGCTCAGACCTCCCTTTTTCCTCGGAACCCGGGGCACAGGAACTCACAGTGTTCCTTCCCGTTCGAAAGAGGCAGATGAAACTCCCAGCCAGTCCCTAAGGAAGAGGCAGCTGAACCACAGCCCCGCGCCACCGCGCCTCCTGTCAGTCCCCGGGGCTAGCGGACTCCATGGCAAGTAATACCAGGGCCCCAACCCTCACAGACATGGACACCCACCTGTTCCACAGCTCCGGTCACAAGCCAGGGAGAGGAACAGCAGGACGTTGAAGGGGAGAAGCCCCTTGGGATCCATCCGTGAAGAGAAGGAAGGAGCTTGATGAGAGGAACCCCGGGTGGCAGCTGCTTGTAAACGGCGCGGCAGAAGCGAACTCTACCGGGCAGTCCTGCCTCTGCAGACTAGACCAGGCATCAGGAACCAGCAGGCTTCCTGTCTTAACGGGACTTTTTGATCTAGCGGATTGCTCATCCCCCTCAGGCCTTAAATCACTTTGTTGTTCCCAAGAAGTCCGAGTCAGGTGCTTAGACCATAAAGCCGGGAAAGGAGCTGTGTGGTCACTTTGGCCAAACCCTGGTATAACCGCAGAAATGTGCTCCCCTATTAGCTGTCTCCAGGAAAGGGGCCACCAAGATTTCTGGGCAGTTCTGAGCGGTAACTCTTCCTAGAGTTCAAAGGAAAGGAAGTTTTGTCAGATCACTCCCAAATTTGGGTAAGGTAGGTCAAGTGGAACGTGGATGACTGCACTTTAATGAGTCAAAGGACCTCTTATTTCTGATGTGTTCCATAATTTCAGAGAACCCCTCTACATGCAGGCAGATTCCGGTGTCAAAGTCATAGAGAGGTGGGTGGGCAAGTGCAGATGAGTCGTCAGAAACCCAGCTTCCCTGCTGGATACCAGGTGGTAGAGTTTAGTGAGCTCTGTGGTTGTTTGGAGGGACCGCCTTTATTTTTGAGCTCGTGTTTTGTTTTTTTGTGTTTTTTAAAATAAAATATATTATTTACTAGAGCCCTGGTGCACGAATTCGTGCACGAATGGGGTCCCTCGGGGTGGCCTACAGAGATTGAGCCCCAGCTTGTGCCCCCAGCCTCTCAGCCCTGCAGCCCCGCCTGGCACTCTGCTTTGGTCTGGTGTCGCCCCTTTACATGCTCCACCATCCCGCCCGCAGGGTGATTGGATGGGGCTGGGACCCCCACCAGGCTCCCTCAGTGCCTGGGAGCTGGGCATCAGCCCTGCCCCCTGCTGCTGCTTGTCACTTTCTGCAGGGTGATCGGCGGGGCAATTGGGCCCCCCCTGCCTGCACCCACCTTGGCCTGGCACCACCTGCTTACCTGCTCCACTATCCTGCCGCAGTCCTGTTCTCATTGGGGCCCATCGGGGCCAGCAGCACTTCCACTGCCACCTGTTGCCAGCGCTGCATCGCTGACCCCTACCATGTTCAATGCTGCCCCCTGGTGGTCAGTGGACATCATAGTGAGTGGTCGAACTCCTGGCCTCCTGGTCTAACTCCTGGTCAAATGACCACCTGAGGGGACAATTTGCATATTAGGCTTTTATTTTATAGGATTTTAGAGAGGAAGGGAGAGGGGGAGAGAGATAGAAACATCAATGATGAGAGAGAATCATTGACTGGCTGCTTCCTGCACACCCCCCACTGGGGACTGAGCCTCCAACCTGGGCATGTGCCCTTGACCAGAATCAAACCCAGGACCCTTTAGTCCACAGGCTGATGCTCTATCCACTGAGTCAAACCAGCTAGGGCACCAGGCTAATGTTTTTAAAGTCCATTTTAACATCTCAAACTCACTCTCCAAATGGACCTCCATAAGGAGATCAGGATAATAAGAGAAATAAAGACTTTCTTAGACAAACAAAAATTAAGGGAATTCATTTCCAGTAACATTCAATTAACATTGCAAGAAATGTTAAAAGAAGTTTTTTAAGAAGAAGGAAAATATTATAGATCAGAAACTCAGATCTACATAAATAAAAGAAAAGCATCAGAAAAGGAATAAATGAAGGTAAAATAAAAACTTGTATTTATCTTATTCATCATTGATCTAACAGATAGCACATTGTTTAAAATAACAGCAATAATGTATTCAATTATGTGTGCTTATGTATATATCATATATATGTATTAGTATGTATGTATATAAATCCTATATAATAAAAGCCTAATATGCTAAGTGTCAGGTTGGCCGGTCGGCCGTTCAACCAATCAAAGCATAATATGCTAATGATATGCTAAGGCTGCTCAACCGCTCGCGATGACGTGCACTGACCAACAGGGGGAAGACAGTTGACTGGTCCACCAGTCACTATGACATGCACTGACCACCAGGGGGTAGACAGTTGACTGGTCAACCACTTGCTATGATGTGCACTGACCACCAGAGGGAAGACGCTCTTACTGGTAAGTTAGCTTGCTGCTGGTGTCTTGCCTATCAGGGCTGAGCAAGATGGGCCAGACATGCCCTGGAGCCCTCCTGCGGTCCCTCCCTGGCTGGCCAACCTCCCATGTCCCTCCCCGGCCCTGATCATGCACCAGTGGGGTCCCTTGGCATGGCCTGTGCCCTCTCACAATCCTGGACCCCTCAGGGGATGTCAGAGAGCTGGTTTTGGCCCAATCCCACAGGCCAGGCTGAGGGACCCCACTGGTGCATGAATTCATACACTGGGCCTCTAAAATATATATTCATTTGTGCTTGTATATAAGTGAAATGTATGACAGTAATGATATAAGGGAATAGAGAGAGGAATTAGGATTTTTAAATTATAAAGTACTCACACTACCCATGAAGCAGTAAGTGAGCTTGGATTGGTTGTAAATATATATTGCAAAATCTAGGGCAACCACTAAAAAAAAAAGTAAAACTAATATACTAAGAAAGGAGGGAAAATAAAAAACCACTAAAGGCAGAAAAAGAGTGGAAGGTAATAATAACAACAAAGAGCAAGGATAACAAATAGAAAATAGTAAGAAATATGACAAATATTAAGTCAACTACATCAATAATCACACTGAATGTCAATGGTCTAAATGAATCAACTAAAAGACAGAGATTGTTGGAGTGGATTAACAACAAGACTCAACAGCCCAACTGGCATGGCTCAGTGGTTGAGCATCGACCTATGAACCAAGAGGTTACTGTTCAATTCCTGGTCAGGGCATATGCTTGGGTTGCATGCTCCATCCCCAGTGGAGTGCATGTGAGGGACAGCCAATCAATGATTCTCTCTCATCATTAATATTTCTTTCTCTTCCTCTCTAAAATTAATAAAAATACATTTTAAAAGAACAACAGGACTCAACAATATGTTGTCAACAAGAAACCCACTTTAAGTATAGAGACACATAAAGATTAAAAGTAAATGGATGGAAAAAGAAAAAACATGCTAGCACTAATCAAAAGAAAGCAAAGTAGCTATACTAATTTCAGACAGAGCAGACATCAAAGCAAGGGAAGCTATCAGAGAAAAAGAGGGACATTACACAATAACAAAGGGATCAATTCTCTAAGAAGACATAACAATCCTTAACATATTTGTGCCTAACAACAGAGCTTCAAATATGTGGGCAAAACCTGATAGAACTGCAAGGAGAAATAGATAAGTCTACTATTATAATTCAAGATTTCAACACCCCTGTATCAGAAATGGACAGATCCAACAGGCAGGAAATCAGTAAGGACACAGTGGAGCTCAACAGCACCACCAATCAACTGGGTATAATGAACACCTACAGAGTACTTCATGCAACAATAGCAGAATACACATTTTTTCTCAAGCTCACAAGGAATTTCACCAAAACAGAGCATCTTCCTGGCCATAAAATACACATTAACTTATTTAAAAGAATAGGAGTCATACAATATCTGCTCTCAGACCACAGTGGAATTAAAATAGATATCAATAAAAGAAAAATAACCAGAGACCCCAGTGGAGATTCAACAACCCACTTCTAAATAACACGTGGGTTAAAGAAAGAAATCCCAACACAATTTGTCAAATATTTGAACAAAATGAAAACGAAAACACAAATTATCAAAATTTGTAGAATGCAGCAAAGTAGTATTTACAAAGAAATTTATAGCATTGAAAGCATATATTAGAAAAGAGCGTAACCGGTTTGGCTCAGTGGATAGAGCGTCGGCCTGTGGACTCAAGGGTCCCAGGTTCGATTCCGATCAAGGGCATGTACCTTGGTTGCGGGCACATCCCCAGTAGGGAGTGTGCAGGAGGCAGCTGAGCAATGTTTCTCTCTCATTGATGTTTCTAACTCTCTATCCCTCTTCCTTCCTCTCTGTAAAAATTCAATAAAATATATTTTTTAGAAAAGAAATACCTAAAAATCAATAATCTAAACTGATGAGCATAAACAGATCCAGAGACAGAGAAGCATGGAACAGACTGTCAAACTTAGAGGGAAAGTGAAGAGGGAGGGAGGAGAGACGGGATAAGAGATCAACATCAACTAAAGGACTTGTATGCATGCATATAAGCATAACCAACGGACACAGACACTAGAGGGTTGAGGGTATGTGCTGGGAGGTGGGGATGGCCGGGAAGAGGTCAATGGGGGAAAAAGGAGACATATGTAATACTATATGTAATATTTTAAACAATAAAGAATTTAAAAAGAAAAAAAAGAAACTAGAAAAAGAAGAGCAAATGAAATTCAAAGTAAGCAGAAAAACCCCCAGAAAGCAATGATATTGAAAACACAAAATCGAAAGAGAAAATCAATGATATTTGAGAGAAGAGCAAAATTGATAAACCTAAATTATAGAAAAAGACAAAGGACACAAATTACTAATATACGGCAGGTTAGACCAGGGGTGGGCAAACTTTTTGACTTGAGGGCCACAATGGGTTCTTAAACTCCACCGGAAGGCCGGAACAAAAGCATGGATGGAGTGTTTGTGTGAACTAATATAAATTCAAAGTAAACATCATTACATAAAAGGGTACGGTCTTTTTTTATTTTTGTAGTTTTATTCATTTCAAACAGGCCGGATCTGGCCGCGGGCCGTAGTTTGCCCACGGCTGGGTTAGACCCTCCTATTTAAGAGTGGGAGACGGTCTCATTGTGCAGCTGTTTTCCACAAGCATGTGATCCTCCTCAATCTCAGGGTGGGCTCCACATAGCCACAGGGAAGGGAGTGCTGGTTGTCACAGATGATGGAGGTGAGGGGCAGGAAACGGTGGTCCCCCAGGATTCTCCTGTGGCCCTTACCTTTGTCTGTCCCAGAGGCAATGTTTCATGGGAAGTGTAATGGAATTGATGAGACTTGTTAGTCTCCTGACACTTTGGGGCAAGATGTGGCAAAGTGACCTGCCTCCAGGTGCCTGGTGCTGGGCTGCCCCAAGCCTTCTGACTTCTCAGCCAATTGTCGTCCTCCTCACGGCCTCTGACCAGAGGTCCTTATA